TAAAATATTTTAAAGTATTGATAATACTTACCAATTATTTAATGTAATAATCAATTGCTTGACTTTCCATACTAACTACTAAGAAACTATATAAGAAAAAATTGAAAAAAAACACAACTAACAAACATAAATAAACTCTAAATTGTTCAACTAATAAGATTTAATAAGAAAAAATATTAATTTATTTAGAAAAATAAAAGAAATTGATTTATCCAATATAAAAAAAATTTTTGTTCTTATTTTGTTCGTTGGTTTTGGGTCTAGAACCGAGAATCGAACCAAGCCATTCGGTTTTCGATTCGGATACTCGTTCGGGTATTTCATTTAAAAAAATTCGCTCGATTCGGTTCGGACATTTTGTCCAACCCTACTTGTGTAATTATCAATAAGTAGTAGTAAATTATTGTTGGAAGTAGTAAAAAAAATTGAATGGATTAATTTTCAAGAAGTGAGTATCTTTATATTTGTATAATTTCAAAATAAGTGAGAAAATTTGGCTATAATTAGGCAAATTAAATATAGTTATATTAGTAAACGAATAAAACAAGGTATTCTCAATAAAAAACAAAAATATATAATTGAGATAAGAAAATAAGAAAAGTCGGCCCATTATTTTCTATTGAATTTCTATCGTAAGTTTTATTTTTCATAATTCATTTGAGCCTCATTAAACTCTTCCAACAAATTGGTATCAAATATTACTTTTACAGCACTTATAAAGTATTTTAAAATAACGTGAAATGCACGTTCAAATTTAAATAGCATGCCTAAATGTAGATTGTATCTTGTAATTTTTCTCAAATTAAAACCTAATATTTTCTTGTGTTATTTGGAAAAATACATCCTTTTATTACATCTATAAAATGTTAAGATTAAAAAAAAAAATAAAAGTTACTAATCTTAAACTTTAAGTATCAAAATAAAGTTACAAGTCTCATCAATAAAAAAGATTACTCAGATAAAACTCAATATATTTACTCATAAGCAAACTTTTTAAGCTTACCAGTTGGCCTATAATTTTCTGCAAGAATTAATCCACTCCATTCTACAAATCATTTTCTTCTTTTTGTATCCATTCCCGGTCTTTTTGTTTGTAATCTCTACCATTCCGGTTCAACAGTGTTCACGAGGCTGATAAGAGTTGGTCTAAATCCGTGAGCCAGTGCAGTCATCGTCAGTCAACTGTACATACATGCACCTGATGGATAATACAGTGGCTGTGGCGTGGGTGATATACATACATACATACATCTATCTATTCACATCATTATCTGGAAAACAGGATTAGCCTACACGTAATTTTGGAATCTTCCGAAACGAAAAATCACAATCATACAAACCCACCTTCATTTTCTAATCTATATAACTCTCTCAAATTCACAATCGTACAAACCCAATTTCTATGTTCATTTTTCTCTCCATATTTTCCTGCTCCTACAGATCCGGTATATCATATATATAGCTAAAAGTTTGAGATTATTGATGTTGAATCTCATTTCTTAGCTTCGTCATGGACGTTGAATATCATGAGGTGGGTTTTCGTTTACCGGTGTTTAGAAGTGACTTTTTAAAGCTATTTCTCTTGATTTTGGCCGTGTGACTTTTTAACTCATTTTCTAGCCAAGAAAGCCTAAAACTTTCGTCTATGTTATTCTATATTGTAATCCACTATATGTTTTTGGATACATGAAATCTATCTGGGTTTGAAATGAGAATATTTTCTCTAATGGGTGGTTCTTGTTTGATCTTGAATGGGTATAGGAATACATATATAATTCCAGAGGCGTGCAGCTTTTTACTTGCAGATGGTTGCCATTTTCTTCTCCGAAGGCCCTTGTTTTTCTCTGTCATGGTCTCTCTCTCTCTCTGAGATGTTTCTGCTTATAATTTGTTCGCTGCTCTTTTTTCTGATTCAAGATTGATTAATGATGTTGCAGGTTATGGCATGGAATGCAGTAATTTCATGAAAGGTAATAAATGATTTCCCATGTCGTCTCTCCTCTCTTTAATTTCTAAATTTAATTGGTTTTTAATCCCAGTACATATCTATACAGGTCATGAATGCATGTTTTCTCCTCAATTAATTTAATACTGTACTTATTGAAAAAGTAGAGTACTACCTGCAGCAGTTAACTGGAATTCATATGTCTTGTGAAACATGATTTGTGAAGAGAGATGCAGTATTTAACATATTCATGCCTCGACCATTCTTCACAAATTGGTGAAGCAACGTATCTATTCATTTGTAGAATGGTTTACTTAATTGCTTACATTTCTCGAACACCTCTAACAGAGCAACGAACCTTTAAGTACGTTTTCCTTCTTCTTCAGACTATAGTTTCTGTAAACGTAATTTGTCTTCTAATCCACCTTTATAAACATCCTAGGAATGAATTAAGCCACTGTTTGGTTTGGATAAAAATTAATTTTTTAGTAGTTTTCGATAAAAAATTGGTGAAATATGGGGTTGAAAAGTTGATAAAAGTTGTGGATCCCATAACATGTACGACAAAAAAAAATTAAGAAAATGAATTTTAAGAATTGAAGACCAAACAAGGCTGAATGTGTTGTGTGTGCACAGTTAGTACTGAGTAAAGACCTCAATAAAGACTATAATAGTGCACTGTGTGTCCATGCCCTGTTGCCCTTTTCTTGCTTTTACTATGTAGTATGCCCTGTGACTTGATACCAACCAACCAAAATATGGACACCCATGCCTTCTTACATCTTCTATTCAGTATTATATTTTCTTTTTTTGCCTTTTCTTTTAAATATTTGGGGGTGGGGGTTGATTTCCAGTAACAGGGGTAGCATATTAACAATATTGGGCCATCAACAAGTTACTCCAAGTACTGAAACAATTGTTAAAATTGGGTCAATCCCGGTTACGCCTTTAATACTATCCAAAATTGTGCAATCCACCTTACCAAACAATCTACATCATATGTGTACATTTATTGCTGAAGAATAGAAAGAATTGTTGGTATAAGGTCAAATTCTTACCCAGCAAATATTATGCAGGGTAGCTTGGTTTGGTTTTAGGTTAACAGGAAACTAATAGTTAGGCCTGTACTGGTCACTTGTCCCTTGCAATGGCCTTCAAAGTAGTATTCATCATTAATAACAACAACTGTGTTGCTCAAGCAAGCAAGCCTACATGGTATTAGTAGTTGGCTAAACCAAATTTGTGTTCTTAGCACTGCTTAAATAGAATTTGGTTGGGCTGTTTTTGGTATTGATTATGAAGGCTGGTCAGGAAATCTAACCTAATTTAATTCTTAGCACTGATGAAATGGATTTTGGATAGGCTGCGGGACGAGGCTGGCTAGTCATGGATATGCCGTGTTTGGTATGGATTATGAAGGCCATGGACGGTCCATGGGTGCTCGATGTTACATCAAAAGATTTGATAACATTGTCAATGATTGCAGTGACCATTTCAAATCCATTTGTGGTAAGTTACCAAACTTTCCAACTATACTTTTTCGTTGATTTTTCAGTACAACCTTGAACTTTCTAGAGGAATCATTAGTTTTTAACAATAATTTACAACTTCGACCGTGTTATTATGCTCAAGCTACCATTGATAGTTTGACAAAAAAGAACCATTGGCCTAAAGAAATTGCTCCACACAAACTTGTAATGCGTGTCAAGTTATACTTAACAATGCATTTGGTTATAACTTTACTCAAAATGAATTGCTTTCATGGATTCCAGGGCAGGAAGAATACAGGGGAAAAAGAAGATTTTTATATGGGGAGTCAATGGGAGGGGCAGTCTCTCTCTTAACACACAAAAAAGACCCTGCTTTCTGGCATGGTGCTGTTCTAGTTGCTCCAATGTGTAAGGTTGTACGAATGTTCTTTATTTGGTAGAGTCGGGTGGACTTGACTCTTGAGTACGGTGTTAGACATGAAAAACACCTTTGGTATACGTCTCTGCACTATAATAAGCATGATTGGGTGAAGATTTTTGTGTCTGACACAAGTGCTCGAGTTTAACATTGGGGAGGGTGAAAATTGGATTGTAGACGTGCCTAATTTATCTTTTTCCTGTCATTAGATCTCTGAGAATGTTAAGCCACATCCCCTGGTTATAAGTCTTCTAACTCGGGTGGAAGACATAATACCGAAATGGAAGATAGTTCCTACGAAGGATGTTATAGATTCTGCCTTCAAGGATCCAATTAAACGAGAAGAGGTGAGCCTATCATTACGTTGGAGAATTTGAAGTGAATTTCGTAAAATGGCCCATTTTATGTGTGTGCGCAATTATTCTGCAGATACGTTGCAACAAGTTGATATACCAAGAGAAGCCGAGGTTGAAAACAGCTCTCGAAATGCTCAGAACAAGCATCAACCTTGAAGACAGTTTGCAAGAGGTCATCTTTAAGCTTAGCCAAATATATGACTGAAAGTGATTGAAAGTATGTTGGTAGATTGAGTTCTCATATTTTAACTCATGCTTATTATATGTTTGTTGGGGGTGACTTTTCGACAGGTGACACTACCATTCTTTGTGTTGCATGGTGAAGCTGATACAGTGACGGACCCGGAGGTGAGCAGGGCATTGTATGAGAGGGCGAGCAGCACTGACAAGACCATAAAACTATATCCCGGGATGTGGCATGGTTTGACCTCCGGTGAGCCAGATAGCAACATCGAGATTGTCTTCTCCGACATTGTATCATGGCTGGACAAGCGTTCTTGTGAAGACCATACTCACGACATGAAACCAATTCACCAATCTATCCCGGTTCCTGAGAAATTAAACATTGCGGCATTGCCAGTGACATTGAACAAGCAAAAGCAGCATAAAACAAGGTCGCACAAGAAGAACATCTGTGGCTGGAAGGGCCGTGGTACGTACCATCACTCTGCAATGTAGTGTACGTTTTCCTGTATAAGCGCACGTATCCTGAAGAAATATTGAAAAATCTCTAATCACAGTGATCACTTTTTTGTTTTCCAGATGATATTTGGTAACTTATTTCATTCACTCAATGTGAAAAATAATCCAAAAGCGGAATTGAAATGACATGGTTTCCGCTATTAAATATTCCCAATTGGATCACTGAATCTTTGTCTAAACAATCTGAATTACTGTACTACGTACTATGTTAGTGTTGATTGTTGTGATTTAGTGTCCTTGTGTAGGAAGTCACCTTTTGTAAAGGTACGAAATTTTAGTACTCTTGGCTGTTTGTACAAAAATAAGGGTATAAATTATTTTCTTTTTTCAATTTTTGTTAGTTACTTTTAATTGTTTTAACTGTGGTTTATTTGTAATTTTTTAAAAGACTAGGGACACGTTGCAATTTTCCTTATATTTTTAATTTAGTTGCTCTCTCTTTGGTTCAATTAAAGAATCGGCAAATTCGTCATTTTATGTAAATTTAACGACAAAAATGGATGTAAGGACGTGATTTACAATTAAATTAAAGGTTGAGAACGTCCGATGCTAAAAAAAGGTGGATTGTAGATTAGTAACAAACTACAAAATTTGGGAATTAACAATCAAAGGATTTCTGATATGGCCATAGCTCACCGTTTTGAAGGTTGGGGGATTCAAGCAAGAAAGAAAAGTTTTGGGCTATTTCAGCAGTCCATCATCCTTGACATCTCTGTAGGGTTATTTGGCTTAGAATAAGGGAAATTTGCAACAAATATCCTCAACCTTTCAAGAAATATACAATCAAATTACAAATTTTTTGGTAAATGTGCGTGGGAAGGACCTTTGGAAAATTCCTTCGAAATGATCATAGGTTCACCAAAAATTAATCAATTAAAACCACCACCTCCACCATATCACCACAACCGTCACCAAGGGGTCTCTCCTTGGTTTCACCCTCCACAGTTGTTTTTTATCGACGATATGGATCATCAGCTAACAAAAATTTAATAGAGTCCATTGTTTACTGTTCAACTGTTACGAAAATTGAAAGTTGAACATTCAAATATGAAGAAATATTCAAGTCGATTTCTATACGATGAATCATTCAATACAGGTCACACCAGGTAAACAACACTGATCCATTGAAAATTTGTGAAATGTTATTTAAGACTACCAATAGGTTTTATAGGGCCAATAGCACTTAAAATAAAAAAATGGAGAAATTCTAAAAGAACCTCAAGAAACTGAAAGAGAAAGTAAGGTGCTGCTCATATGATTCTACACAGTGCACCTGCTATCCTTGTTGGATGCTGGGATTCAACAACTTTCTTAGCTTAGCATAGATGGCAAATCTTAATTATGCCGAGCCAGCATTTTCCTTGTGATCTCCAAAAATTCGTTGCCTAAAGTCGGAGACCATCATTGGAAGACCCTTCCGTAGAGGTACTTTTGGTTCCCAACCAAGAAACTCCTTCGCCTTTGAGATGTCGGGCTTCCTCTTGTGGGGATCATCCTCTGTGTTGGGCCGGAATTCTATCTTAGCAGTTGCATCAATTGTTTCCTGAACTACCTGCGTTCCAACAGAATAACAGACGTTCAAAATGATCTAGGAGACATGATTAAGGAGGGAAAACTAATGTCTAGTGTCTATATACATACAACGGGAAATGATTTTGATAATTCCTAACGAGAAACACCCATCTTAATGACCAGAATCAATGTATCATTTGACATAAGAGATAAAACGTCAGCTCATTTCATACTTGCTTCATATGCTATTCAGAACTAAATAAACGGCTCTTAGATTCAGTGTTTAAGATCTTCTAGAAAAGCAAAAACAATTTTCCAACGCCCTTACGACCCAGTGATGAATTAGTCAAGATGAATAGATGATAGTTTCATGGAATACTTTTTGCAAAAGAGTAGAGAGCCGAGTACTTGAAAAGCTGGCAAGAGTCTGGAAAATAATATGGATGTTGATCGGAAATAATTCCAAGCAACGTAGGGAAATGGAAGCGCGACATACCTGTGCAAGTTCAAGCATAGTGAATTCACCAGGGTTTCCAAGATTGAAAGGTCCTACATGTTCTCCTTCCATCAACCGCATCAGGCCCTCAACCTTCCCAATCAAACACAAATCATGAGTAACTATTACAAGTCATTTTAAGTACTACAATCTATGAACACAGTAAAGAGTTCAAATGCAGTTGCTACATTGTAAGAAGCAACTAAGAGGTTGATTAAGGCAACGTCAGTAACTGATAATCACATTTGAAACTTCTTACCAAATCAGATACGAATTGAAAACTTCTTGTCTGCTTCCCATCACCATAAACCGTCAGCGGTTCCTTTCTCAGAGCCTTGAAAAAAAAAAAGAAGGTTTTATGCTCATTGAATATAAGATCAACTAAATTCCATTTTAGACAAATAATACAATCTCGAACACTGGTTATAGTATAAGTCGCAGTGAAATTAGAGTAGAAAAAGGACTAAATATATTTATCTAAAATATGTTACCTGGGCAACAAAGTTACTAACAACACGACCATCGTCAATGCACATACGAGGTCCATAGGTGTTAAAGATCCTAGCAATCCTCACCTGCAACAATATTGTTCAAAAAATGTCACCAAAAATAATGCAATTCATAGTGTGATTATAGTTAGATTTACCATATATTAGAAATAGAGTGGAGTTACTTTTTGCAAAAATGAATCCCATTTTTCTAACAATTTTTTGTACAAACTGAGCCGTATTTAGAGTTTGTCTCTATAAATCGTGGACTCCATGCTTTTTCTTTTTCCTTTTTAATGAGATACTGGCTATAATTGAAAATGTCTTAAAATTTTGAATTAGCCGAAATTTTATTCATCCTTAACCATAATCATGTCGGGGTTCACATTATTTTATCAGTTAGAAAAATTTATGCTCGTGGCTTGTTGGACTAAAATATGAAGCCCAAAAATTCATTTTATCCGTCATTTTCAACCACATATTTCATGGGATCACAACTTTTCAACAAAACATTTCATGAACTTTTATCAAAATCTATTAAAAACTGATTTTTAGTCCAACCAAACAGGGGCAAAGTATCCAGGTTTTGTTCAGAAATGAATGGAAAATTAGGAAAACTATTACAACAAAGGATTAGCAATACATATACAGCATACAAATCTTGTTCAGTATGGAACACAACAAGATTTTTAACTTATTTTTTTATTTTGAATACTGTCAAATGAATGGAAAAACATATTAAGGGCTTGTTTGAGTCTCATATTTTGCCAAAAAAAAAAAGCATTTTGCAATTTTTTTTACGATAGAGAATGTGTGGTTAAAAAATGAGAATTTTTTTGAATTTATATGCAATATTATTTTATTGAAAAATATGTAAATGTAATGCGCTGAAATCATTATTCATGAATGAATTTTGATGGAAAAAATAAGCTCAAACAATGACTTAAACTGACCTCAACGCCAGCACCTCTGTGATAGTCCATGGTCAACGTTTCAGCAGTACGTTTCCCCTCATCGTAGCAGCTTCGGACACCTGTTGCCGACCAACAAGCGTTTTCTTGTCAGTAACGTCCAAAAATTCCAACTAATATTGTCAGATCTAACTTTCATGTCTAATTTACGTTACATCACACATGGTCCCATTTTCGGTAACGACGAAAGTCACGAAACTATCCTCCAGCTAATCTACTTTTTTTAAAACTAGCTCATAGGTTATTCTAAACCGAGAGGGCATAAACGTGTAGCAATAATACTCAAGCAAAAATCAAATAAAATACTTCACCTCGTACCGAATGCCTTGACTTCTAATATCTGCCTGACCAGTTAAGAACGGCACAAGTTAAGAATTGGAGATTACTGGACCCAAAATTAGGAACCGACTTGATAAATTATGGAAAATTATCACTAGAGATTACTCAACTTACGTGTTTGTTTCATATTGGTCACACAATTTATATTTTCGTTTCACATTTGAGGATTTGAAATCTACCGTAAAAAAAAAAAAAGACCATGATATTTGTACACCGAGGTGTCGGACCATGCTATTTGTACAACTGAATTTACAGACCCCCTCACAAGAGAGGGGGCCCACGAAATATTGGACTTGTTCTGTTGTCTAGGTCATAAGTTCCACCAGCGAAGTCAATTTCATTGGTTAAGTCACAAATTCTGCCTATTTTTATAATACATAGTCAAATGAAACAAAATATAAGTTGGTGGTTAAAATTGAAATAAACTAAAGTCACGGCGAACAACATGAGAAAACCCTTTTAAGTTGGATGACCCTTCAGTAAATTTATTTGGATCTGGTTTGAAGTTTGAACAGATATTATACTTCCACCCATCGTTGAAAAACACGTGGCGCGACGCTTTGAATTGAAAATCAATAACCAATGAACGTAAGACTCGATTCCCCGTAAGGGCTCACGTTAGGCACGAGCTACAAAGCATAGCTAACGTGAGCCGCACTGACCAGAATTGCTCCGATGAATTGATATACCGACTATACGAACCTATGCAAAAATGTTTATATACAAAAATAGAAATAAAAATTAGATCACTCACCGATGGGATTAACGTTGCCCCAGTAAGTTTCGACTTGCGGGTGTTGCAGTGGATCACCGTACACTTCACTGGTGCTCGTTAGCAAAAACCGCGCACCCACTCTCTTTGCCAGTCCTAGCATGTTCAATGTCCCTACCACATTTGTCTTGTAAAGAACAATAAATTAAGGATAAACTGATGATTAAACGCCACAGTTTTACGTGAATAATGAAAAATTGAATTAAAATTTGGAAAAATTGATAATCGAAGAGAAGGATATGATAGTCTTGACAGGATTGTGCTTGTAATGAACAGGCGATGCAGGGCAAGCAAGGTGGTAGATCTGATCGACCTCCAATAGAAGTGGCTCAACGACGTCATGTCTAATGAGTTCGAACCTAGGGTTTCCAAAATGGTGCATGACGTTCTCTTTCCTTCCGGTGAAGAAATTGTCAACTACGATCACGCTGTCGCCTCTGCTAATCAGACGATCAACCAAATGGCTTCCGACGAACCCGGCCCCACCGGTCACCACGATTCTCAAACCCTTTCTCTTCAGGCCTAGAGGTATTTTTCCGCCTGAGTTGAAGGACGACCCAAATCCGAACCTGGTGGCGTGGCCATTCTGGGAGATGAGTTTATGAGGCTGAGTCAACTCGGAGGGGAAAACCGAGTTAGAGATGGAGGCCGGGGTGTGGGAGGAGGGGAGGAGGGCGAAGATGAGGGTGGCAATGGCAATGCCTACGAAAACAAATACGAGTCGCTGCTCACGGAGCATGTACCGAACCGGACGAATCACGCTCAACCATGGCTTCGGCGGCTTTGGCGAGTACTCCTCCGTCACCGGCGGCGTCTCGTGCCCTCTGAATATCAACTCAGAACCCATATGTATGCGTGTATGATTGTAATCTGTACCTATAGATGTGTACCCTGATCCAAGAGATCAGAGGAGAAGAAGAGAAAAGTCGAATCAACTGAGTCTCTATATGTGTGTGAAATGCCGGAATTGAAGAAACCGAAAACTGAGGAATTTCGCCGGAGAATTCAGAATTTCATTCACCGGAGTGTCTGGGTGGTGTCCGACAGACTGAAGGTGTGAGGGGGATTTTATAGGTCCTTGGAATTGGTTTATATTACGTAACTGCCCTCAGATTGTTTAAAAAAAGTAAAGCGGTTGCTGCCTATATTAGGTGGGAGTATTATAAAGTGGTCATTTAGCAACAACTAGAGGTTTATTAATAATTTTAAGATATATAAAAATAAAATAAAATTTTGTTTGAACACGTCTTGTATTTGTCTAAACCTAATAGTGTTTATGCCCTCCTTTAATTTTTTTATTTTTGTAAAATGATAAATACTGAATCGACGACGGATCTTGCACAATAAAACTTTATTCGAGATCTTGCACGAGATATGACGTGAAAATAGTCGTTTAAACTGTAATAAACATGTGAGAAATGTAAAAAGGAAAGCACGAGTCTTGGAAACTCTGTTAATTCTTTACTTTTTAGCACATTTAATTTGGGCTGTATTTGTTAATGTCCGCCTAACCCTATTGAATGTTAACATAGGATTGAGAATACAAGGAAAAATATTCCTAGAATGAATTTAAAATTAAAATTCTGTTCATAACTAAAATCGAAAACCAGGTCACAACTATTTGTTATGTATTTTAAGAATGGGACTCGAGGTTTGTGACGTTAATAGTAGGCAACATTACTCGTTAGCATATCATTATTCTTGAAAAGCACCAAAGATGAGAAGGTTATGAGAATTGCTACACTTACAATCTTTTTACACGTACATTTTGACAGCCCTTTCACATGGGGGGTGGGGTTCACAATCGCGGGCCCTCACCCATGTGAGAGGGATGTCAAACTTAATGTGTAAAATGGTTGTACATTCAGATTTTTTCGAAGGTTATAGGTCAGCTGTAATACGAGAGCATGGAGGATAGGTGATGGCAATTTACATAGAAAATAGTAGAAAATTTTTCATTTGGATTTCTAGTGGATTTTGAAAAAATTTAATAAAACGCTTGAATAAAAATTGTAGTTATTATGAAATGAGTAGTTGAAAATAAGTTTTAGATAATGAAGATCAAACAACAACTTAATACGAAATATTTCCGTCAATAGAAAATTTTTTATTAGTAATTAATATTTAGAATTAAAATTTCTAATCCCACAATGGCAGGTTACAATTTATTTTAAATCTCGAATGGCTTAATTGTGTAATTGATTGCTACCGTCCTATTGGAAGAGGGAAAGCTACTTAAAGGCAATTTGGTGGATCTTTGAGTGATTTGAACGTTCATTTTCGAATAAAAAGTCAAACGCCCTACATAATTAGATTAAAAATATTGGGCTGATATAGCCTCATTATCAAAGCAATTTCTAAATATTTCAATTTTCATAATTACGAACAACCTAACTAAATTTTCCTTTTAGTAATGGCAACGGCAGTCGAGTCGAATATGACTGTACATCAAAATTGTATATAAGAGGTTAGAGAATATGATGCGAATGAAAAAAATTTGATGAAAAAGTTGACTGTGTTTTAATTTTTAAACTGACAAATGATAGAGTGTCATGTGACATTATGTAACCTATTATGTAACTCATGATGTACATGTATAAACTCTATTATTAGAAATGTCAAACTCAATAAGAAAAGAACTATGATCTTATAATCTCCATATTAAAGCAACACAATATTTTACATTCAGAACGCACCACCAAGATAGCTAGTGAGCTTGTTTGAGTTTTTTTGGACTATGATTATAAATTGTCTCTCGTAGTTTCATTTTAAAATGTTTATCTTATTAAGGGAAATAGTCAACTCTTTTAAACATTAATGATTTCATAGTTACGAATTGTATTAGTAGACTTTTGTTAACTCATCGCTGCAAGATAGTAATTCGTTTGACAATACAAATCTTGAAATCTAACTATTCGTTTTAGCTCGAGACGAATTGAATTGTTCGTTTAAATATTTTGGACTCTGATATCAAATTTAAAAGATCAAACTTAATATGAGGAGTAATCACAGTAACTGAAACACATATTTGGTTTAAAAGTTTAAATTATTATATTTATCGAGCTCAAAAATTTCATTGGTTGAGATTTGGGAATAAGTATTTTATCTATCTTAAAAAATTTGGTACTCTTTCTAACAATCGTTGTCCTACTTATCCAACTCAAAACGATAAAGAAATGTCATGCGGTCCAGCAATGAGTTTAAATTTACCTTTTTTCCGAAGAGATATTCCCATGTAATGTAAATGATTGAGACCTCCCAACAATGAACAAATATATGTTACTTTATATAAGTTAACTATTAACTAAACCAACTTAATTATGCAAAAATTGAAATAAAAATAAAAATAAAAAATAAAAATGATGCTTATAAGCTCAATTACATAATTTGGCTGTCACTAAAGTCGTAGATATTCACTTCCACCGACTATATTCTACATAAACTTCATCTTTACTATCGTATTGGCACTATGCCTCATTTTTGGCTAAATACAAACTAATAATTTTATTATCTTTAATTGGTATTAAATATAATTTTTTTTCCGCAAATAATGATATTCTCTTCCAAATTAGCATAAAAGAAGAAAGAAAACGGCCACGTGAAACCAAATTAATGATAGCATTAATGGTTGCGAGATATTGTGAGAAATGCTATAAAATTGTAAAGCGTTGACATAAGTGATCTTCGTTTCTTTTTTCGATTTGAGTTTTTGCCGTCATGGGGCTCTATCTTGCATCGATAACTAGTCATAACTCGAAATAAATATACAAGTAAAAATTAGTAGCTACTAAAATATTACTCTCTCGAGCATATATGTCCGTGCTTAAAAGCAAGTTTTTGACAATGAAATCCTTGACGCCGTCAAGAAAAGCACGTCCAAATATGCTCTAAATCGAACGGGAATAGGAAGTACAAATTTATGCGTTAGTTGACAAGTGGGGGCACCCTATATAAGGGTACACAGCAATATTCTTTCCATCATAAAAACTATTTTCTGATTAAATGCTGCACATAAAGTCTGCAATTAAAAATTTCTCTCATTTATCATTCAGAATTCTTCCATTGATGGTTGGCATTAACTACAAGAATACGTACAGTGAATTTTATTGTTGTTTGAGTAGACTACATCCTTGAAATTGGGTTTTTTCCTCCGTTATGCACAGCACGTACAAGAAGAATTGAGCCACTTTCAAGGATTGTCAATTTTCTTCTTCTTCCAGCCAACCTCTTCTTTCTCAAATTCTTGTCTTTCCCTTTTCTATAGAAAATGTAGATTAGCTCCAAACGGGGAAATCCCTCTACTTAATAATCAACAAGCATAGTGCCAGGGGCGGACGCAGGCTTTTTATATTTTGGGGGGCACAATTAAACTTTCAAAAAGTGACGAAAAAATTAAAATAAGAGATATTTTATTACAATTGTTCTCTACGTGTTCTCATATTTTGATAACGTTCCATAATTAAAGTGAGAAATAGAGAAAAATTTAATGTGGTTTCGTAATTCAAATCAACAAAGAAATTGAGTATACAATCTTGGCCATCAAGAGCTACACAAACTTTGATAGAATCCAAGTCACAGATTTATATGTACATTTCATAAATTCTGAAACTTATATAACAGATGCAACAAGTAAATCAACAAGGGATAAGAAAATGGTAAGAGCAAGACTTATTTTCGATGCATCAAATACCCGAGAAACAATCATTGCTCATTCACGTTCAATCATATTGCACAACTCTTTCTTCTGATTACATTTAGTTGGACCAGATTCTCATAGACGAAAAGGCTCTCGAAATTTCCTTAAAAATGTCACTTCAACTGAGAATTTCACTCGTGAATCTCATGCATTACTAGAAGGTAACTAAATTCAACTAAGAATTCTTCTATTCCTATTCATTGATCTAATCTAAGTATACGATCATTTTACACTGATTACTTCGTTTAGTACTGTCACGGAAGCCTTGCCTACTAGCTTTTTCCTTGGGTCAGATCTTAGAATTCTTTGTCGCGATTGAACTTGAAATGGTTATAGAGTAGAGACAGACTTTTCACTGTTTTCATTTGACAATGCAATTTCCACTATTTGAGAGTAACTATAAATCATTTAAACAAAGATAAATGAGATTTGAAGTTTTGAACTATTCTTGTTCAGTTATTCAATCACAACCATTTTTGTATCCATTTAACAATATACAACCTTAATTTTACCATGAAGAAGAAGAGAGAAAAGGAGAAGAGGCGACTGAAGCGAGAGAAAATGTTTGAAATGAATGTTGATTCATCTTCCTTTCATATTAAAAAAAAAAAATTAAAATTTTTTTTTTCTTTTTTTGGGGGGGTTGAGGAGGGGACCTGCCCCCCCAGGACCGCCCCTGCATAGTGCAATCACAAAACATGTGAAGCACCCATCAGCTACACAGATAATCAAGGATGACATCGCTACAACCAAATTAATAAATAAATTACAAGAACATTACTCTACCTTGAGGTAGAAAAATCAGCATGTGAAGTAATTCAAAGAAAAAAATTTAAAGTAGATTTTCACACTGTCGTGCCACTTTAAATACTGAATTCATTTACCTACCGGGTGGCACACAAATGGCCCGTCTTAGCTCAGTCGGTAGAGCGCAATTCTTCTGAAAACGTAAAAATAATCCTACTGGGATGCTCACCTTGAATGAGGAGGTTTCTGAGAACAAGTCTAATATCTAGTACACTTAGCCTTGTTTGACATTGGAATAATGCTCACCTTGATTTTGATGTTTTCAAACTCATTTTCAATCACACATTATATCAATAAAATAATTTTGCACTTGAACCCATAACTTTTTATACTTTTTAACCATA